ACACACACACACACACACACACACACACACACACACACACACACACACACACACACACTCACTCACGCATCCCCCCCACGCGCGTGACAAACACGGACTTTAAACATGAAGTTTTATTACATTCACACTGGCTAGGTGGGCGCGCCCTGCGCGTGTATCTAAAGTGTGACTTTTGCTGTCCTGCTGTTCTTGTCGTGGAGGGGTCTGTGGGTCATGGAGGGGTCTGTGGGTCAGGGAGGGGTCTGTGGGTCATGGAGGGGTCTGTGGGTCAGGGTCGTCTGAGGAGGAAGCAGATGAAGGGAGTTGCGCACGGGAACTTTTATTTAAGATTTAAGTTATTTTTTTATTTCAAAGGTCCTCATGGCTCAACAGCAGAAGCATAAATATTACTGTTAAGAAAGCTGATGATAAAGTTGAATAACAATCTAAGTTTGATGAAGGTAAATTAAATCTCTGACAGTGATCATTGCACAGTGTGGCTCTAATTCCTCACTTCACCATCTGTGTCACAGTTTCAAGTCTCCAAAATGAGCGTACGCATGGGTCAGAGCTGGCGTGAGGCACCGCACATTTTCACGTCAAGTTTGGATTTTATAAATCCCAACCTTGGCGTAAAAAGTGGCGTACGCAAGTTTCTGGGCTCAAATTGTGCGTACGCCAGTTTTATAAATCCGACCCCAGATCTCTACGTGATGCTGTAGGAGGAAAACGTTTCCTGACTCGTTTCCTGATTCGCTCCTCCAAAACACCCCAAAGTGGRTCAATCTAGTGACTGTGCAGGCCATGGGAGATGTTAAACTTCACTCTCCTGTTCATCAAACCAATCTTTCACCAGTCTTGCTGTGTGTATTGGTGCATTGTCATCCTGATTAACAGCGCAGCCTTCAGGATATAATGTTTGATGTACTGGATGCACATGGTCCTCCAGAATGMTTCGGTAGTCCTTAGCAGTGACACGCCTATCTAGCACAATTATTGGACCAAGGGAATGCCATGATATGGCAGCCCAAACCATCACTGATCCACTCCCATGGCCCATCCACTCTGGGCATGCAACAGTCTGGGTGGTACGTTTCTTTGGAGCTTCTCCACACGCTAACTCTCCCGGATGTGGGGAAAACAGTAAAGGTGCACTCATCAGTGAGCAATACATGTTTCACATTGTCCACAGCCTAAAATTTGCGCTCCTTGCACCATTGAAACTGACGTTTGGCATTGGCACGAGTGACCAAAAATTTGGCTATAACAGCCCAGCCGTGTATATTGACCCTGTGGAGCTCCCAACGGACAGTTCTGGTGGAAACAGGAGAGTTGAGGTGCACATTTAATTCTGCCGTGATTTGGGCAATTGTGGTTTTATATTTTTTGGATACAATTCGGGTTAGCACTCGAACATCCCTTCCAGACAGCTTCCTCTTGCGTCCACAGTTAATCCTGTTGGATGTGGTTGGTCCTTCTTGGTGGTATACTGACATTACCCTGGATACCATGGCTCTTGATACATCCCAAAGACTTGCTGTCTTGGTCACAGATGAGCCAACAAGATGTGCTCCAACAATTTGTCCTCTTTTGAACTCTGGTATGTCACCCATAATGTTGTGTGCATTGCAATATTTTGAGAAAAACTGTGCTCTTACCCTGCTAATTGAACCTTCACACTCTGCTCTTACAGGTGCAATATGCAATTAATGAAGATTGGACACCAGTCTGGTCCAATTTATCCAGGAGACCTCCCACACAAAAAATGACAGGTYTTTCAGTTTCATTGTCTAACCCCTGTGTTTTAAATTCATACAAGGATTTCTCAAAATTTTCATTAATTCTTCTTACGAACTGGTTGAAGTTCAAGCTATTCAAAGAATAATTATGTGAAAGCTTTTCGATTTCAACAAGTACTTGTTTCTGTATGTTCACCAATGATTTTATTACTTACTTTTAACCCCTGGCTGGTAACATGGTCTGTTGCATGAATAATCAACAAAGGTACATCCAAGTGAGAGACCAAGTCAATATCTATCAAACACCAGATTTTTTTACATTTTATTCTGACATAGTGAAGAAATCTACATGTAAGTTTGACATACTGGAAATTCTGAACTGTGCACACAATAAGAAGGGGCGTGGTCAAAAACTGGTCCCTGTGGAGTAGTACCTACCAACTTTTATTTTGTAAACAGGCTTTTGTCTGAATAGGTGAACCATAAGGTGCGTGAAAATGCAAAATAAGTTTTATATTTAGGATCTGTGTGGTAAACTCAGATAAAAGATGAAAATGTTCATCTTCTGTTGGGGTTGTGACATAATGACCCCCTGATGACATCATTGTTTGAATATTTGTTTAATGAAATGTCATTTAAATCAAAGAGTTAATCAATATGAATCTGCTGATACCTTGTTTTTAAAATTTGGTTGGTTTATAGCAAAGTTATTGGCAGTTAAGTTTCCTGTTTAACTTCGATGGTCAAAATGAAAATGGCGTGTGGTCCAAAAGTGGACTCCGGTGCGCTTTCTACAGTAAAATAATGACAACGCTCCGAACACATTAAAGTTTAACACAAAGTTGGACTTTAGATACCCAGGCAGGTCGGGTCTCGGTTCTGGATGGGTGGAAGTAACGGTGATACAGCTCAGGTGTCTCCTCAGCTGCAGCGAACTGGTCACGCACGAACACATAAGTTTAATACTGAACGTCTAATAATTCATTACATAACTTCATCTTCGTGGTTCTGGTAACGGGTCGAGGTGTTCTCCTTGGAAAAAATGTCTGATCAACTCTGATTAGTTTACCTGCGGTTCTGATTCGGCTCTGAGACTGAAGGACCCGTCCTGCTCTGCTCTGATTGGCTAAAACTGTGAAACCGGGTACACACCAAATGCGTTCTGAGCAGCCAAAGCAGCCAGTTTTCATGCAAAGTCTATGGTGGGCGCGCATCTACGAGCAGTGCAGCACATAGCGGCGCGTTTTGCCAGTTGAGAGCAGCGCGCAACATGCAGCAGAGCATTTTCCGCGCATGCAGCATGTCCAAAGCAGCAGCTGCTGGAGTTCAACATACTGAACTTTGGCTGCTCGACGCACAGCAGCAATCAAGAGAATAAAATTTTCCACGTGACGGTTTCCTGAAACCGACAGACGGACAGGAGCTGTTTTAAGCTGAAATCGACCGTCTGAAGTTGGTGTTCTGGCTGGAAATAGATGTGGGTCATCAGCTCGTCCTCGGGACAAGAAAAAAAAAGTCTGTCAGCACGCAGCTCCTGGAGTGGCGAAACTAACCGAACAAATTGCCTCTAAATCATCTGGTGAATTAATTATCTGCTGTGCGCAATGTTTGCTTGCTCTTTAGTAAATAAAGCAAAGCCATTTCATTAATTTTATCTTTATTTCAATCATCAACAGACCGGAAAATGAACAATAACGCTCCTCCCATCGGTCTGAACCGATATTTGTTGACAAACAGCCAAAAACATGCGTCAGTAGCATTTTTGCTGCTCAAGATGCGTTTGGTGGGAATAGGCCTGTCACGATAACAAATTTTGCTGGACGATTAATTTTCTCACAAATTATTGCGATAAGCGATAATATTGCCTGGTGACCATTTTACAACTATTATAAAAGCGTAATATGTAAGTGTAATAAATCAATAAACTTTAATTTTTAAAGAATGTTTAACAAAGTGGACTCTCAGTCTCTAACAAAAAATGCACTTGAATAAAAAAAACAAAGAACAACAAAATGTAAATTAAACACCACACACAACTAAGACAGTAAAGAAACAATATTAAAGAGCAGCATCTCTTTAGAGATGAAGCAAACTACACAGCCTGGTGAGGACCCACTGTTTCTTATGGGGACATAAGCCCAGTTCACATCCCATGTAAAGTGTAGGCTAGGTTTAGGGTCAAATGGTAATAGAAAATACTGGTAAATGAATGAAAGTCAGTGCAAAGTCCCCATGAGGATAGAAGAACAAATGTGTCTATATGTGTGTGTGTGTGTGTGTGTGTGTGTGTGTGTGTGTGTGTGTGTGTGTGTGTGTGTGTGAGGAGGGGACAGTCAGTGAGGAGACAAGCAGAGCGCTGCGGTGGAGGAAATCAGACAGTTCGCAGTTTTCCTCATGAGTTGCTGGGATCGCTACAGGTTTTTTTGGGGGTGTTTCGTTAAAACACAGATGGTGCGTTTAAGTTTCTTGTTATTTTTGGGAGCTACAGGTAAAGTCTTGACGAGTTTGTCGCGGGTCTTTGGGAGTTTCAGCCCCCACCCCTTCTCCTCCTCCTCTCTCTCTCTGTGTGTCTCCCCGCAGCGAATTTCAGGCTCTAGTGCTCCGACACTGCAGCAGCCACGTTCTGCTTTGAAACGTTTCTTTAGTTTGTTATTGCTACGAGCTCTCTTGCTAAAGCGAGAGTTCACTCCTCCCGACACTAAGAAAACAGGAGGGGAGGAGTCAGCTGAGCTCCTGTGTAGCGGAGCACAGAGAGGGAGAGAGACGAAGTAAACAAACAAGCAGGAAAATGAAACGTATCGTCCTCATTATTTTACCGACCTCAAAAAAAATTATCGTGCAATTAATTGATTTATTGACTATCGCGACAGGCCTAGGTGGGAACCCGGCTTGACTCTGATTCTTTTTATTGGTTGAGTCAGTTAATCCATCACAACACAAGTTTTTGTTTTATTTTTTTCTTTTCTCAACAGGAAATGCACCGCAGAGACAGCCGGGGGAGACAGAACTTTAATRGCTTCTGCCGGACAAAATTTAAGACCTTTGAGTAACAAATTTAAGACCAACTTGCACACTTTTTAACAAATTGAAGACTTTATAAGGCCTGTAAATATGTGAATTTAAGACTAAGGATTTTTAAGGACCCACGGACACCCTGTAACTGGACTCGCTGGGGTCACTGTGAGCTATCGTGCTGCATAAATAACAGGACTTGAGTCTGACCAGAGGCACACAACATATTATTCACCTACATAAACACAGCTGATTAAACAGCACCAATTTTCCATCCACAGTGAAGTTGTGTAGAAAACAGCTGATTCATCGCTGCTGTGGAGTTTTATGAATAACATAAGACAGGCATTAGTTCTAGGTCTGAACAATGCCCTTGTTTAAACAGAACCAGCTGTAAATCTGAAAACTCTGCAGTCATGACATCAACAGGAGCAGACTTTGAAATCAGACTGTATAGTATTGTTACAAACTACAGATAAACTGTTCACCATCTTAGCTTTCACCCAGTGGAGTGAAGCTGGATATTACCAGGACATCAAACAGCACAGCGGAGATGTAAGAGGGACCTCAGAGTGATATTTCATTTTTACTCACCTGAGGCTGTGCCACAGCAGGGTGGCACCCACCAGGCAGAGGAGAAGATACTGCTGATGACATCTGGAGGGAAAAGGGTGACGTTTCTCTGCACCTGCAGTAAGTTCAACACAAGAGCCAGGAAGACGCCCACAGAAAACAACATCCCAACTCGAATCAAAAGGTTAGTGTTCCTAGAAAACAAAGCAATATAGTGATAAGATTTGGTAAACAATGTTTTGAGCTTTATTTGTAAAGAAGAGGGAAGTGGTAATACTACAGCACTTCCTGGTGGATACCAGAGAACATGCAAATACAAAGGTAAAGAAAGAATGAAAAACAAACAGAAAACAGGTTTTATTAATGAAACTGCTGCAGTCACAGATCTAACCTGTTGGTGATGACTGAGATATACGGTCCCCGAGGACACTGCAGTGTCTCTGTAGAACCCAACCAATGCTGTTGGTCCCCAGACACTGCACTGGTGCTCATGGTGGTCAGTGTTTGGGACATTTGGAAGACTAGGTCAGAAAAAAATGTGAAATGAGTAACCTTTTTTTCCCCAACAGAACATTAAAAAAAGCAAGACCAAGCACGCATATTGTCCGCTGCCATTCATGCCAGAGCTTTAAAATAAAATCCATCCATCCATTTTCTGTTCACGCTTCCTCCTTTCAGGGTCGCGTGGGTCACTGGTGCCCATATCCAGCAGTCACAGTGCGAGGAACGGGGTAAACCCTGGACAGGTTTCAACTCCATCAAAGACAAAAATAACATTTTTTAACATAAACAACAACAAAAATATATAATCCAATAAATAAAATTGTGATCATAAAATACATTCAAACATATTTCATGTAAATGTTCCAAATAAAAAACTGTAAAAATAAATTTGATAAAGAGCAAATAAAAATAAAGCCTTTTTAAAC